GATCGATCGAAGCAACATCGATCTGGACATATCAAGATGGATCCAAGCCTTTGTTCTTATCCAAAAGAATCCACCAAGTTCGATCAATCTAACATCTCTTCGATCGATCTAACATCTCTTCGATCGATCGAAAATATTCGATCTTATCCACACCTACCACACCACCTACCACTTTTGTCTCTTTCCCAAAATATCCCAAAATATCTCAGAGATTTGTCTTTATTCAAAAAGGCACCACCAAGGATGGATCGATCTCTGCAGCATTCGATGGATCTCACCTCTATTCGATCGATCGAACCTCCTCAAGTCTGAAAAAAATAAGTTTCAGCTCATTAAAAGTTAGCTCATGGTGCAATCATTGCAAGGACCCTAGTGCATGAATCCAGACCATTGGGTGTGACACTTGACCTACCTATATAAGGATTTTGAGCCTCTTTTACATCATATATCATATACCATCTCATAGACTTAGAAACATTCTTAGAGAGGAAGAAAAGAGAGGATGAGAAGCTAGAGACACATTCTTGGGAGTTCTTCCATTCTTCTATGGTTTCCATCAAGAAGGATGTCATTCCTACCATGGAGATAGCCCTTGAGGGTTGGATGACTACTTCAATGAGTGGCTAACCATCTTCTTGGGGCTAGAGTTAGCCCTAAACATGCCTTCTAGACTCTAATGCTTTGTATTTTGAGGGGATTTGTGTTGTAATCTTGCTTTGACACTTATTTTATATATGAATCTTGTTTCTTCAATGATTTGTGTGGTTTAATACTTCCAATTGATCATTTCATTCTATCCATATGTCTATGTATGCTAGAATAGATGTTCATGGATTTATCTCTAGTTTTTGTGTTATTGATGCATATCTATGTGTGTTGATGCTATGGATCTAGAGATTGTCAAGGCATAGTGCTTTATAGAATACTATTGTGGTTTATTTGATGGTTCATACTCATGTTTTGATGGATTGTGCCTCTCCCTTAGTTTCTTTAGTTAATTTTCATGCCCTTAGCTTAGTTGCAGTGTAGTTGCCTTAGTTGTTAGATAGGAGGACAATCCATGTTTGTTGTTTGATATTCCATGCTTATGAATGCAAGTATTATTATTCTCTAACCATGTGATGTGTTTGGATTGTGAGCTTAAAGGAAGAATTAATGGCTTAGTTTGATTTATTGTGCTATTCACTAGGTTGCTTAGACAATATATGCTTAATTGGTCATCCATGCTTGTTGAAACAATCAATCACACACTCTCAAATTGCAACACATGTTTCCCCTCATTAATTATACATTGAATGTCTAGAATGGTGATGTTTAGTGATGGCCTCTAGACCCCAAGACTTCACTCTCTTGTTTTTTCTAAATTTCATTTAAATTGCTTATTTTACATTGAACTTGTTTAGTTTAATTTGTAGTTTAATCAACCAAACACACCACCTTTTGATCACTCAACCTACTAACTCTATACATTGTTTCCATTCCAAGCACGCCTAAAAATTCTTTGGGACGATCCCTACTCACCCTAGCTATCTTTTTAGTTAGAGGTAGTAGTGGCATTTATAAATTAAAAACTTGGCCACACTATTTTGCAAAAATGTGGTTGTACCCCATGACAGGCCACTACTAAATATTAATGTGTTCAATATTATTAGTTGAGCCAAACATGCCTTAAAATCTTAGAAAAGACGAGATTGCCCTTCAATATGTAATTCATTTTATTGTAAAATATCGCAACTTGTGAAAAGTCATTGTTACCCTTATATATATATATATATATATATATATATATATATATATATATATATAACCCATATGGGCGAAGGAAAAATCAATCTCAATTCTCTCACTAGTTTAAATCGAGGAAGAACACCACCACTTCAAATCCCCGCCACCACTGCCACCCACCATTGCCGCCGCCACCACCGCAACCTCCACCCTTTCTCCACTACAACATTTACCACCTCCCTCCGCTTCCACATTCTCACCTTCCACAATCTCACCGCCTCCTTCCTCCACTTCTGCCACTACCACCGCCGCCACCACCACCACCCTACCTTCCCCATCAAGCACAATTCCCATTCCTAAGCACCGCCACCTAATTGAAGACAACCCAAGAAAAAACCCACCCCTTCGATTTCACCCCCCACCACTCACCACTACCTAGGTTTCCAATCAAACATGAATTGATTAGTGGCCATCAAAGACTATTGGTCTGCCGCCGGCGACGACAGGCCCTTCTGTCCTTCCTCCCAACGACCACAAAGGCGTTCACATCTCCCATCAAATTAACCCAATCAGCACTCACCATCACCGACACTGTTGTTGTCGTCAATTTCGCCGTCGTGGATCATCAATGGAAATTATCCATCTTCGCAACTAGTAAGGTGGTTGATGGCATGATACAATAAAATGTTTTCAACAATAATTTGTTAAGATATGGGATGGCAAATGGACGGGTTGGGTTGAGTTGAAAACGGGCGGGTTAATATGGGTCAAGACTCATATTCAACCCATTTTAAACGGGTTGAAAATGGGTAGGGTCACCCGTTCGGTAATTAATAAAAAATAATTAAATAATTAAAAAACAAAAAATAATTAAAATTTTTTTAAAAATAATAAAATAATTAAAAAAATTTAATTTTTAATTTTTAATTTTTTTAAATTTTAAATTTTTATTTATTTTTAAATTTTTTTATTTATTTTTAAATTTTTTATTATTTAAATTTTTTTAATTATTATTTTTTAAAATTATTTTTTCGAAAGGTTTTAAAATTTTTTTATTTTTAAAATTATTATTTTTTTTAGTTATTTAAAATTATTTTTTAATTATTTATTTTTTTAGAAGAAATTTATAGAGAGAGAAACTTAGAAAGGAGATTGATGATAGACAAATTTAAAGAGAGAGAATTGTGAGTGAGAGAATTTTAGAGAAAGAAATGAGTTGAGTGCAATATAGGATAGATGTGTATTATGTATTTATTATGTGATGGTTGAAATATTAGTTGAATATGGTCAACTCATCTTGACTATCAAATTAAATATGATTCACCCATAATCATTAAAAAGCGGGCGGATATGGGCGGATTGATGGTTCCTGACCTATTTTGCCACCCATAAGATATACCAACCTTCGCGCTGTGGGAACATAAAATGAACCCAATAATTCCAGGAAACATTTGCAGAGTTTTGGCTATTTTCTTTGTAACATCATAAGTTTGTGTAATTTTCAGATTGTAGTGTTATTTTTAGAATAATGTACAGAAGGCTCTTTGGAGGCTGCTTGGACAGGAAACAGTGAATCATAAAATTGGTCACTCAAATCCTCTTCAAATCAAATAGTAATAGTGATATATATATATATATATATATATATATATATATATATATATTTGCGAAAAAAAAGGGGTTTTACATATAAATAAAATGCAAAATGCCTAAATAGAAATTAGAAAGATTCAATAATATAGGTGGTGGTGGCTATGGTGAGGCTGTGTAGTGGTGGCAGTGGGTCTGATGGGGGTGTGGGGCGCTTGGTTTATTAGTATGAGTGGGGGTGGGTTTTAGGGTATTTTTGTCAATTAAAAAGAATTGTTTTTGGATAAATTGATAATTTAATGGATCAAAGGGCAATAATGTCAATTCACAATATGTTAGATCATTAGGGTGTCTTAAAAAAAATAAAATAAAATAAAATAAATTTTCCTACTAGCATTTTGGAGGCCTTTTGTGATTAATCTGTCACATAGGCTTTAAAATAAATCTATCATCATGCATTCACCTTCATGCACATAAGCACTATTAAGAGGGAGAATTAGACATGGATAGAACTTTGATATAGATTTTTTAAATTAAAACACTCATTTTATATGCATACATAGGAAAGGTATTGCTTCATGCATATATGATTTATCAACCGGAGTATGGTTCATGCATTGTCACCTAGAAGTGCACACCAGCTGGGGTTTGAAGATGGCTTGGCTTGTCTCGTCGTAGATGGAAAGCTTCTGAATCAAAAGTTGCTTCCTCCACCAAGCAGATCTCCCCAAATGTTGAATTTTTTCACTCACTTCAATATGCACACTCAGCTAACTTTTTTCACCCATTGTAATTCAATGGCAATTTTTTTTGATCATTTGTGTTAAATTCCGCAATAAAAGATTTCAATTATCATCTTTTTGTAGCATTCAAAATTCAAGCAAAGATGCTTCAATAATATTATTATTGGATTATCTAATTTTTATGGTACTCCTCCTTTCTATTCCATCTGAGACACACTCAGAGTCGACTCATGGACACTAGTTATGCTGTGAACTAGTCGTCTACTCCTCTCTATATATTATTTTTGTGCATGATTTTATAAGTATACTTAGTAAATTAATAGGGCTACAAAAACTTTATAGTTAAGAGAGAAGAACAAATAATTTGAGATATTCAACTAAAAAGAAGGAAGAATTTGAGATGGCTAGAAAGTGCCGGATTGCTTATGATTGCGCTATGGGGTTAATCATTTTTTATGTTAAAAGCTTAAGGATTGGTGAGCCTTCACCTTCATCTAACCCAATCTAACGCCAAAATCCGATACCAGATTTCTGCGACAAAAATTCAAGCCCCTTTACTTCCTCCATAAAAAATGGTTTTATCTTTATTAGAAACATGAAAATTGTGTTAAAACTAGAAATACCAAGGTGGGAATGCCTTTATGGCTTAGTAGATGGTAAGAGTTCGAAACTCTAAATGAACAAAGTTGATATATGAGTTAGTTACACCGATGGCTAAAAAAATAAATAAATAAATTTGGGCATCAATAATCTCCTATTTTTGCACAAACGTATTGACAGACAAGGGCATGCCCGGCAAAGCATTCTAGGTCTTTATACTTTCGAAAAGTTATTCATCCAGAGTTTGTGCCCTATATATATAGGGATGGGAGATTACTTCCACTAAGAATTGTAAAACATTCATCGTGTTTTGTTCACTCGAAAGTAGTTACATTAGTAATATTGAGAATGAAAGAAAAAATCATAATCATTGAAAAATGTTAATAAAAAAATAATAAATATTTTCATAGCCAAGTAGAAAATATCACAGTAGAAAATATCACATTAACTATTACAATAACAATGACAACAGTAACAACATAACACAACAAAAGCTAGCTACATCAAGGAATAAATACCCACAGCAATGACAGCCAAAGCTAGCTACATAAAGGAATATAAATACTTCAGTTCTTAACGCAAAAGGGAATTCTAGGAGGCAGTATTTTGTAAAAACAACTCCTCACAAATTAAAAAGATCTTCGGACTTTTCACATGAGGAATCCCCTGACCACCTTTTCACTTTAGCAGTCAGTCCCGACGATAGTTTCAATTCCACCCAACTAGACTTTTGACATGAGTAATCACCAGACCAGAATAGACGCTATGACTTTTCGCTATAGGTGTCCCAACAATAGCTTTCAATTCCTGGCTCCTTAAGTTGTACAAATACCAACTTCTCCCAAATCTACTACCCATGTAACCATCATCCCAATCATGTCGAATGATCATCAATCCTTGATTCCCCACCATTTGAATCGGGTGAAATGAATCATCCATTAAGAAACTTGACAGACTATTAGGCTTACCAACAATGGAAAGAAGACATATTTTATGTTTCTTAACCCAAATATGATTACCCAAATCCTCCAACATCCATAACACTAATTCCATTTCCGTAGCCGGGTTTGAGAAGTAGATTGATCCCTTCACCACTAACAAGTTGCAATTTATAAGTTGGTGTTCAGAACCTCTTTTTGGTTGACATGGCAAGCATATTTTTTGCCTGAATTCCTCGGTACCAATATCCATTGATTGCACAAAAGCCACCCGAGGAGAATAAACACTCTCAATATTGTAAGCAATGTCCATGCCCCTTAATCTCCGAGGAACAACATCACAATTGTATGCTAGCCAATACAATATCCCATTCACAGCGATAGGCTTGAAAACACCTTCTAGGCAAAATGTAGATGGACTGATCAATTTCCTCCATCCACTGCTCTGATGGTCTATCGTAATTAAGTTGATCTCATTAGGGAGAAGACGTGCCCGATCTTTAAAAACCATCACTTTATATTTTTGAATTGAAGCATCATGTACTATCAAAAAAATGCCACCATCAAAGCCCAAATTTGGATTATGAGGTAACTTCTTTTGAATGCCGGTAACAGGATTATGAACACAAAGCTTTTGTTCTTTTTGGGCATGAAGGACTCCTCCTACATTTTTGTAAATAGGAAGAACATAATCTCGAAAAAGTAATAAACCATCAGTAGAGGCAACAATATGGGTGTAATCATCAGGAATACATATAGGAAAATCTGTGGAGTCTCTCTGTTCGATATCCGAAAGAAGCAAGCGATGGGAGGCTAAATCTTCACTGACCAAGACTGCAGGCTTGGATTCCCATATGAGAAGATGACATTTGATAAATTTTGGATCAGAGATGATGGTTTTCCAAAACTTACATACTAGTTTGAATCTAACAAGTGATTCAGCAGGTACTCTTGTTAGTATCTCATCGATGATTTCTCTAGGCAGACATTTCGAGTTGTCATTGCTTTTGATTCTGTTTCTGCTTCCCATGCTATGCTGCTTACAGTTTTTCTCGCCTAAGCTAGCTCTATATCCCACAGAAACATTCAACCAATATATTGAATTAAATATTAACCATATGAATTGAGATACATATAAATATATATATGCCTTCAGAATTTAGGGTCAAATCAGAAGCTTATTGGTTAAAGAGACACATAAATATTTTTGAAGATAAATAAGTCAAAAAAATAAAATAAAACAAAAAACAAATGGACTAATTTGTCATACATATATCAGTGCATTAGATTATTCCTCTTGAGAATTTTTAATCAGAGCTCTGGACCTGACCGCATAAGTTGGTATATATACGACCATTAACTAAAATATGTCTATGATTAACTAATTGGCGGAATAGTTGAAGCCATACCCAATCGAAAAAGGATGTTATCCAAACGCATTTTAAAAGGATTTATAAGTTAAATTGGGAATGGATCCTCTCCAAGGAAATTTGCCTCCAAGCATCTACAAGTATTTAATCCTACGATTGTTAAGGCCCCACATCAACAATCTAATTAACTAATGAACACGGTATCGTTTGACTAAAAATGCACCTTACAGCTCCATTGAAAAACACCAGTGACTGATTGAAGGAGAAATTTCACACGCGTGCCTACCATACTTACAAGCAATTTCAGACATTTATTATTTTCAGTTTCAGTCAAGTTTACAAAAGTAAAATCAGTAGTTCCTACCAAAATTGTTGTTGGCCTAGTTGGAGTGGTATAATGTATCGATCAGTGAACACTATTAATTACTATCCCTCTTAAAATTAGTTCAGCATAAAATGGATATTTGGAAATTACAAATTTAGAAAATCTACAAATTTAGGTATAAATTTTTTATTTAGAATTTGTGAATAAGAATATAGATTTCAATAAATAGGTGATAATATTATATATATATATATGATTCAACTCACCTAGATGTATCTAGTTGAAGTGAAGCTAGGAGAATCTTGTCCGTCTCTTAGGCTCCTAGAAAACAACATTCGACTTGCATGTGTTAACTATTTAGCTAGCGTTCCTTCTGCATCAGGATCAAACTCAAAGATGATGAAAGAAAATTCATGGTAGTACATGGTCAAACCTGGTGAACCGGACCCTGGTGCACCGGACCGGGAAAACATCAGCTATTATGTAAGGGTTAGTTTGATGTGGTGGAATGGAATAAGAATGGAGGAGGAAATGGAATGAAATGGTTATTCCTTTTGTTTGAAGGTGGAATGATTTTAATGGAATGACCATTCTCCAAGAAAAGTGAGAATGATGATTCCAACTTTAAAAATAGCACCAAACACGATAATGGAAAAAAAATCATTCCATTCCACTTTCTTTTATTCCATTCCATCACACCAAACTAGCCATAAGAGAATAAGAGAATGAAAGAATGAGAATCAAGAAAAGGAAAAGGAAAGTTCAGCAGCTTTGATGTACTGAAATCTTAAAATACTTTCTTAACTCAGAAAAATCTGTGAAATCTTCCAAATCTTCAATTATAGCATATAAAGATTGATGATAATGAGGGAAATCGAAAGAGGGTTTGTTAGTTAATGGAAAGAGGGTCTTCAGTTTTTATAGCCTAAGCTAACTGAAACATTTAACTGAAACATTCAACCAATATATAGAATTAAATATTAACCATATGAATTAATTGAGATAAAGTGTAATTCTAATTTATATATATATATATGCCTTCAGAATTTAGGGTCTGTTAGTTAAAAAAATTGTCAAAGATGAAATCACAATGTCAGATCAGAAGCCAGGCATAAATTTTTTTTTATAGATAAATAAGTCTTATTAGAATAAATAAATAAATAATATATATATATATATATGCCTTCAGAATTTAGGGTCTGTTAGTTAAAAAAATTGTCAAAGATGAAATCACAATGTCAGATCAGAAGCCAGGCATAAATTTTTTTTTATAGATAAATAAGTCTTATTAGAATAAATAAATAAATAATATATATATATATATATATATATATATATATATATATATGCCTTCAGAATTTAGGGTCTGTTAGTTAAAAAAATTGTCAAAGATGAAATCACAATGTCAGATCAGAAGCCAGGCATAAATTTTTTTTTTTTATAGATAAATAAGTCTTATTAGAATAAATAAATAAACCCCACCCGCCCCATTTAATTTCCACACAATCAATTTGTTATATGAATTCTCCAAATTGCATACAATATAGGGTTTTCACTTCTCTTAAGTGGTGAATAAATGGACTAATTTGTCTAACTTTATACAGATATTTATAGGTAGTGCACTGTAGTTTTATTTCGGTTAATGGGTGGAACACAAATTTAGGGAGAAAAAAGAAAGAACAAATTAGGGATTTTGAAAGGATCTGTTAGGTTAATGCAGGATTTGCTGGATTTGTAGGTTAAAAAGGATTTGCTGCATTTGTAGGTTAAATTAGGATTTTTAAAAGCACCTATAAGAGAGGGACAAGAGATGTGTAAAGAAAGAGAACACAAAGACTGTTGAGAGAGACATACCTGTGGCTAAAGAGATCGGCCAGTGATGGTGAGGCTGACGGAGCACACAACAGAGACCGGCGAGAGGATGAGAGAGAGACCCAAGAGGATGAGGGAGAGACCCGAAGTGTCTATAGTAGGACGTACCGGAAGATTAGGTTTTTTATTAAGCATATATATATATATATATATATATATATATTAAAAGACATATTTAACCTTGTTAAAACTACCAATAAAAATAACCTTGTGAAGGATGACGTAGATAGTGTTAAGACATATTTAACCTTGTGAATGATGACGTAGATAGTGTAATCTCATGACCAATAAAAATTTGCCAACTAACATTTTATTTTATTTTTTTTAATTTTTTTTTTTGGCCAACTAACATTGTTATCTCCTTTTGGAGAGAATATTGGTACCCAAGGGTACCCGTCAGCATTGACACCTGCTATCCGAATTCAATGAAAACATGACATGTTGTTAACTTTTCACATAAGCATCATACTCAACATAGCAGCAAGCCACTAACGGAGACGTCGTCAATTTTCTTTCTCTCTCCTCAGCCCTCCATCCCACTTTCTTTCTCTCTCCTCGTTGCTTTTTTCAGAGAACCAAGTTATTTTTCTTTTTCTCTCCTCAGCCCTCCATCCAACTTTCTTTCTCTCTCCTCATTGCTTTTTTCGGGGAACCAAGTTATCGATTGGGGCTGAGACGAAATTCTTATTTCCCACATAACAATGGTTACAATGAGTCTCGTTCTCTCTGTTATTTCTCTCATGAGTTTTTGAGGTTGATTTGCAAGACTTATTTTTAGTATCACCTACAGGGTAATCCTCGCTTCTCCTGTGGGGCATCGAATTCCTGGTTGGACTTCTGGGACATTATAGCATGCTGCTCGGAGTTCTGGACCAGCAGCTCTATGTATGGCTGTCAAAAGGACACCCAAATTACGGTAGAGTTCATTGAAAACAAATTCATTAGGAAGATGTTAAAAATATACCTCCATCAGCACCACCACCTCCAAGTATTGGCTCATTAATTTGCTGGAGCAACCTATATAAAATATCCATCCAATTAAAAAAAAAAAAAAAAAAAAAAAAAAAAAAAAAAAAAACCTTATACTTGCCTTTATTATGTAGCATTTGTTCTTGTTGATTTAGCTGGTGTCATCAAATCAAAATACAAATTTTGTTTTGGAAAGAATTTTACTTCACTGACTTGAATTCGGCAGAATCCTTGGATAATATTGGCCAAGAAGATGATTTAAATTTTTTATTCCGAACTAAATTGAGGAATTCAAACCCCAGTATAACTCCAGTATCTGAATGTACCCCTATAGTAGTATAATTTTGTAATCCCATGATGTTGTGCAATTAATTATCTATTTGAGGTGTATTTGGAAATCCCACGAACATTGAATGGTTCCATTATCTTTATACCATGTGCAATTTCAGGCAAGGATTTGGATGATGGGACATCTGAGAAGTACGTTGATTACTGAGAATCCGGTGAAGAACGATGATGGCGACAGCGAGAAAGAATCGTCGGCAAAGACTGAATCGGCGATATGCAATTTCAGGAGAGGAATCCTGGTTCGGCCGGCTGGTGCAGCGATGGCGATGGCGGCATGGGCCGGCGATGGGCTGTGGAGAGGACTGGTTCGGCCGGCTGGTGCAGCGATGACGATGGCAATGGCGGCATGGCCGGCGATGGGCTGTGGAGAGGTCGGTTGTGACCTTGCGGTGCGGCACCGGCGGGCAAGAATTGGCCGGTTGGCTTTACCGGTTTTGACACAAGCGGCCGACAACCGATTGACTTACGAAACCTATACTGGTTATCTAGCCTTGTGTTCAAAATCCTCATTTTTTTTTGTTCATTATTGAGTGATTAAAAAGGGTTTGGATGGAAGTTATTGGGTCTTTGTTTGTTCGCACAGGGAGTCCAATCCGGCTTTCTTGTTGTGCATACCAGCACGTTTGACTTGGTACTCGTTGATGATTCTGACGACGTTCACACCGGAGTGGGCGGCGATGGTGCACATAGGGCCTCCGACTTGGTTTTCTGAAAAAAAATTTACTTTGAGCAATGAGGAGAGAGAAAGAAAGTGGGATGGAGGGCTGAGGAGAGAGAAAGAAAGTTGACGACATCTCCGTCAGTGGCTTGCTGCTATGTTGAGTATGATGCTCATGTGAAAAGTTAGTAACATATCATGTTCTTATTAGATTGGGGTAGCAGGTGTCAATGCTGACGGGGTACCTAATATTCTCTCCTCCTTATTAAGAAGGTCAGGTGACAAAATAGGTACCTTAATTGAGGTATTTTCAATCAAATATTCAATCTTGGGTCATTAAACCACTCTTCGCGACTTCATAGGTAACTCAAATAAGTTAAACTCAAAATTCTCATTTTCTTTCTAAGATTTAGTCCTTATAGAAGTGGATTTCTCTGCCCGTTGCTCTAGGCCTGTTATGCAAATTCTGACAAACAAAAAATATTAACGGCAACTTATACTATTAAATTCTATTACAATATTTACATATTAAACAAAGGAAGTTCCATTGTTCTTTTTTCCATTTTCTTCCGGACGTGATAGGAAACTCGAATAAGTTTAACACAAAACTCTCATTTTCTTTCAAAGATTGAATTCTTATACATTCAAAAGGTCTAGTGATATAATAGGTACCTTGATTGCGGTATTTTCATTCAAAGATTCAATTTCTATTCACTAAAACACTCTTCGGGACGTCAAATGGAACTCGAATAAATTTAACCAAAAACGCTCATTTTCTTTCGAAGATCGAATCGAGTTTAACTTATTCGAGTAAGCTATGAAGTCGCGAAGAGTGTTTTACTGACCAAAGATTGAATCTTTGAATGAAATTACCTCAATCACGTTACCTTTTATGTCACTAGGCCTTTTTAATGTATAAAGATTGAATCTTTGAAAGAAAATGAGAGTTTTGAGTTAAACTTATTCGAGATGCCCTTGACGTCACGATGAGTGTTTTAATGAGTTAAGATTGAATCTTAGAAAGAAAATAACTCAATCAAGGTACCTATTATGTCACTAGACCTTTTTACAGTATAAAGATTGAATCTTAGAAAGAAAATGAGAAACTGAAAATAAAATAAAAAATAAAAAACCTCTGATAATAATCACAGAGACGAAGACCTGCATACTCTCATCCCATCACAAGTTCAATGTATAATTGTCAACCAATTCGTCTCCATCGCAATAGTGGAGATAGACTTGGGTTTTTCCTTGGAGTGGTTACACGAAACAGAAAACCTGATTATTCCATTGGAGTGGAGCCGGCGGTGTAGTTGTGGGGACGGTGATGATGGTGCCATCGGCGGGGATGGCGAGAATGGTAGAGGAGTTGGCTTCGATTGCGTTGCGAATGGGTTCACGATGGCGATCGCGATGGGGACGGATATGAATATCTATATATATATATGTGTGTCTGTCTGTCTGTTTTCTTTTTCTTGCATGAATGATTGAACTTTTTTTGTGATTGAGGTGTAAATTAGGTGGGATTGATGCAAATATTGCAGGAATCAATGTAGATATTGAGAGCGATTGAGAGGTATGAAGTTGATTTGGAAAATTATTTAGGATTTTTCTGAAATTGGGTTATGGTTTGAAGGATTTGGGGGGTGTATATAAAGGGTGTGTATTGACGACTGAGAAGTATAAAGAATTGTTGTAGAGTGTTCTGCTACTTGCCGACGAAGACGCAAACTCATCTGTGAAACTTCGATTCCCACTGAAGGTTTGGAGATTTGAGGCCAATATTTCTTTTTTGCTATCATCATTGTGTAATTTTTCTTATGGGGTGAACACATTTTTTTTTTTCTTTTCAGAAAGCAGATGGGGAAAAAGATGAATAGTGGTTTTAACTATATATATATATATATTTGAATTTACGATAAAACAATATGTTGATAACGGTGCGTTTGGGTGTTTGGGTTTTCGGGTGTTAAGAGTCACAAAAAGGGCATTAGTGTATTTTTATGCTCATAAGGACATTATGGTCTTTAAAATTATAGTGTGCAACACGTGACCATCACATGGTCACTTTTACGGCGAGATCTGACCGGAGCTTGGCCTGAGGGGCTATCTGCACAAAATTACATTATAAGGGTTAGTTGCAACTTTAGTAATTTAGGAATTAATTGCTGATTCGTTAATGGTTCAGGAAAGTTTTTTTATTTATTTTACCCTACAATATATATACAGATACCAAATTTGGAATTAGAAAAGGAATGGGATTAGATTTTGGATTTTGTTGTGCGTTTTGAATGAACTAAAATTTATTAATAATTGGAAGGGAGCGATATTCTCAACTCCTTTTATTTATTTATTTATTAACCCCGTAAGCAATATTCTAATTTTACCTTTATATGTTTGCTTACTAATTTTAAAGCAAAAAATTACGAGTATTTTAAGTTAATGATTATAGTTAATGACAGAAAATACCGTTAAAATATACAAAATCTTTAAATTAAATTAAACGTTAATTTTACAATTAAAATATTTAAAATATCTCTAATAAAAAAGGACACGGATTCTCTCCTTAAACCATCTCTCTCAAAACTAAATCCCACTATTGATACTGAGATACGGGTTCACTCGCCTATACTATACCATCTTGATACCAAACGGATTATTGTGCTTCTTTTCTCTCTCCTCTTTCTCTTACTTTCTCTCTCTACACCCCACCAACGAATCCCGCTGCCGTCTCCCTTTTTATCGTCTTCTCCGCAGGCGGTAGCGACTCCGTCTCCCGTGGTGACTGCCCGGACCTCCACCTCTCTACCACAACACTGTAAATAATGCGTATGCATTACAATATTCTAGATAGAGAATCCAGGCGACAGAACACAGCAGACTCTGACATTTTCTTCTATGAGAGAAATTTGGAAGAGGTTTGATATTTGAATGCGATTGTTTGCTTTTGTTATTTTCTGTTTAAAGCTCGATACTTCCTCTGGTCATTTTTTCAAACTTGATTCTTCTGGCTTTTTCTTCTTTTTTTTTTTTTCTTTTTTTTTTTTTAAATTGTCTTTATGGGTATCTTCTGTTTCTGATAAACTGTCTTTGGATTTCAATTTCTGAGAATGAGAGTAGATAATTTTGACTG